GTCTGTTGGTAACGATATAGTTTATGTATTCTCGCCTGATTTCGTTCCACTGTCCAGCTTACTGCCTGCAAAGAATGTGCACAAATATGTACGTATAAATTCGGTGATTCTGCTAAAAAAAAGTAGAATTATCATTTATTAGTTAGGCCAATTCTATTTTGACCCAGGTCAAAGTGACACATCATATAACCATATGCCTGAAAATTTACAAAAATTTGAGCGAAGATATCCCGACAACCATCTAACCAAATTTGATAAAACTTTATTTTATTTGAATCTAAGGATTCACAGAATTCGAATAAAAAAAAATTTCATCAAATTTAGTCAGGTGGCTGTCGAGATATCTTCGCTCTAAGTCAGAAAAAAAATCAAAATTCCCATCAAAGTAGTAGCTGTGCCAAATTTTTTATCTAATTTTAAGCGAAGTTATCTTGACAACAATCTAACAAAATTCGACAAACTTTTTTTTATTTGAATTCTATTAAATAATAGAATTTGAATAAAAAAATTTTCGTCGAATCTAGTTAGGTGGTTGTTATAATATCTTCACTCAAAGTTAGAGAAAAAATTTAGTGCAACTTCTATTTTGATAGGCGTTTTGATTTTCTCTAAATTTGAGCAAAGATATCTTGACAACTACCTGACTAAATTCGATGAAATTACTTTATTTGAATTCTATAAATCCATAGAATTCAAATAAAAAAAGTTTTATCGAATTTGGTCAGATGGTTGTTGGGATATATTCACTCAAAGTTTTGAAAAATTCTCAGGCGTATGGTCACTTTGACCTGGGTCAACATAGATAACGATAATATATAATAACAATTACCAATATTCTTTGAGAAGTGTTTAAGTAAACCTGAACTATTTGGTACCTTAATAACTCTATCAAAGAATAATTTTACTCGAAAATTATTATTTGTTTCAATAAATAATTCATTTAAGATATTAATTATAATGTTAAAATGTTGAGAGTGTTACTACCAACAATTAATATCTATCCTATATTTTTATCCAACGATTTAATATCATTTTTCAAATCAAAAATTTTCTTTTTCAAATCTTTAATATCCTTCTCAATTTGTTCAAGAGAAGGCTGCTCTTTAGAAAGATGAAGAGCTTCTCTAAGAGCCTTTGAAATAAAAGGTTTGACTATTTATCTTTTTGGATATCAATTATATGCTCACGAAATTTAATTGTGTGGCCTTAATAGAAACTTTTCATGCAAATATATAAGTTTTGCATATAATTAAATAACTTACATAATAAATGGAACCAATTTACTTTTCTTCGCTGATGAGGTAACATATATAATAATTCAATTTCTTCTAATATCTAAATAATTATAATAAACTTTAAATATATATATATAATATAAATAAAATCCATTATAGTCATACCTCAGCTTTTAGAAGTAAACATGATCTTTTCTAGTATCAGTTAATAAATTATTTAGCACTCCAATAAGGGGGCTGACAAATATTAGCTAATTATAGCCCCTCTGGGATTTTGATTTGACACCCCCAGGGTCATGTATTTGACACATATATAATTACTATATGTGACAACTTCAAATTTATCATGTGACAAAATCGAATTTGTAGTTCAAATAGGACAACTTCGAATTTATCATGTGCTAAATTCGAAGTTGTCACATTTGTACTACAATAAATGCGACAAAATCGATTTTGTCACGTGATAAATTTGAAGTTGTCACATATAGTAATTATATATTTGTCAAATACATGACCCTGGGGGTGTCAAATCAAAATCCCAGGATGGCTATAATTAGCGGCTCACTTAGCGCTTCCGAAAAATCATTTTACTAATTAATCTATTTATACCAAGAAAATATCCGAAACCAAAACAAATAAATCACCTGGCACGATACAAACATAAAACCAGAAAAATAAGTATTACAAATAACACATCGTGATAAGAAAATTGCATAATGCTAAGAAAACAAAAAAATTACAATTACTTATCGTTTGCATTATTCAGTAAGTCCAAGCTTAACCGCATTGGCAGCTAATTTATTATAATTTACAATAAAGTATTACAATCATGATTAGAATAAGATATTAATAATAGCTTAACAACAATAGTATAATATAGCAGTAGAATAGAAAATTTAATATTGTTACCAATTTATATTATTCGAAAATGTATTTAAACAACGATATTTTACCTTAGTCAACTTCGGCATGTATAAAATATAATTTCTATTATTTACCCGAAATAATCCCTTAACACTTTGAAAGTATAAAATATATTTGACATATATTTAATCGTTAAAAGTCATTTATGACTACCATCGTTTACTAATTTGAAACTTAGAAATATATAGCAATTCATTACTCAAGTTATTCTTGTAATATTATTAATAATTTTATCGACACCACTCATAATAATAACAGCTATAATAGCTGAACATTATATTTATCGAAAGCTTAAACTACTCTATTGAATTATAAAAACCTGT